CCTTTGTTTCTTCAGACACTCTGAGTTCTCCAACGCTCTTGCTTCTGTTCTCTGACCCCAGCTGCTTCCCCGGGGCCCTAGTGAGCGCTACCCTGGGCTATCCTCACCCTGCTGTCTGCCCTTCAGCCCAGCTATTTCCTTCAGTTTCTCTCCCAACAGTTTTTATCCTGGTTGGATTGCTTCCCAGGCGTCTCCGATTCCTCCCTCCCTCCCTGGACCTAGCTATCCCTTCCTCCGGCTGCTCTTCTCCCCCTGGGTGCCCCCCTAAGCTCCAGCCCTCACCTAGCCCCCCATTCTTTGGCCTCCTCTTGACTCAGCCACTCATTCCCACAAAGTCCTGTCACAGATCCAAACCCTACTCCCTAGAGTCCAGCTCCACCGATTCCCGGGTTTCCACCATCTCCATCATCATTCCCTACCCCCTACCCACCTCCGCCATCCCAGAAGAGCCCATATCCCTTGTGTCCTTGGTGTTGCTAACAAGCTGCCCTCTGACCCATCCATGTACCCGTGTGCCTGTGCGTGTGCGCTATGTGGCATCGGGCGGCCCTTCTGGACACGCCTGGGCCTTCCTGGCACAGACCAGCGGGACAAGGAGAGGGAACAGCGGCTCCAGGAGGCCCGGGCCCGGCCGGGGGAGGGCCGAGGCAACACGGCCACCGAGACGACCACCCGGCACAGTCAGCGGGCGGCCGACGGCTCAGCCGTCAGCACCGTCACCAAGACGGAGCGGCTCATCCACTCCAGTAAGAACCCCAGCCTGGGCGTGAGGCTCGGGCCTGGTGGGGAGTTGCCCTCCTTTTCCCACACACACAGTGCCTCTCACCCACGCCCTCTCACCTCCGCCCCTCCAGATGATGGCACCCGGATGGCCCGCACCACCACCGTGGAGTCGAGTTTTGTGAGGCGCTCCGAGAGTAAGGCCGCCTGGCATTGCCCTGCGCTGCCCGTCCACCTGCCTGCCTGCCTCCTCGGGCTCCTCCCAAGCTCCCTCTGAGCCCTCGTCTGCTGTCTCTCTTCCGCCGGCACTCGCTCTTCTCCGTCCGTCCGTCCGTCCGTCTGCTCTCTCTCCAGCCATCACTTGCTCTTCCCCTGCGGCGACCACTTATCCCCCCGCCCCCCAACCAGCCTGCGCATGCGCAGCCCAGGACCTCACCCGCTCCCCTGCCTCCTCTCTGCAGATGGCAGTGGCAACACCATGGTGCAAACGAAGACCTTCTCCTCCTCCTCCTCCAAGAGGATGGGCAGGTGAGCATAGGTGCCTGTCCGCCCCCCCCACCCCCACTCTGCCCCCATTCCACAGAGGCCTAGATGGAGTGGTACCCAGACGACTGGTACCCAGACGACTCCTGCTCACTTGGTCATGTCCATCCCTCGGAGCCAGGGGAAGCCCTGCTCAGAGTCTCACGGCTCAGAGGCGGAGCAGAAACATTGACCCCTTAGAGGTGGTCACTTCCCATCCTGAGCTGCCCAGTTGCACAGACCCCCCACTGTCTACAGCCCACGGCCCAGCCCACAGAGCACCTTGCCCCTTAGCCCCGTAAGGGAGGCCTAGACCCCAAGTTGCAGAGGATGGCAAATCCAAATCCAGGCTGACAATCAGTGGGGGGCGGGGGCAGAGGGCAGGGGCACAAAACGGGGGTCCAGGGAAGCTACATTAGAGAGTCTTGAGTTCAAGTACCAGCTCTGCCCCTGGGCCCTCTGAAAGCTTAGGCAGCCTCTTGCCAGGGGCTTCGGTTTCCCCGTCCGTACTGAACACAAGGCTTAAAATGACACCCAGACCTGCGCTCGCCTGCCCCGGGCAACACGGAGGGTGAGCACTCAGCTGCCTGAACCATGGCAGACCTGGCGATCTGCACCCGCAGAGATGCCCAGCCCCAGACTGAACCCACCGCCCTCAAGGCAACTCTGACTCGCAGTGACCCCACGGGACCAAGGCAAACTGCTCTTAGGGTTTCCAAGGCTGTAAATCATGGCTGAAAGCCTCGCCTTTCTCCCGCTGAGCGGCTGGTGAGCTGCCAGCCTTGCTATGCGCAGCCCGATGCCTAACCCGCAGCTCCACCAGGGCTACATGCAGCAGATCCTATGGCGCATTCCTGCTTGTCACATGAGGCCCCTGTGAGTCGGAGTCCACCCCAGAGCATTAGCAATAAGGACGTTACTCATCGTGCTGGTCATTGCAAATACTCCTTGAGGTGCATCAGATCCTAACTTTCCCCGGAACTTGCCCACACATCCAATGAACTGTCTCAGGGCCTTAAGGGATAAAGGGGGTCTGGGACCTGGTTGGTTGATACCAGGCAGCTCTGGCCAGACAGTGAAGACTCGGTGCCTGCTTTCCAGTCATCCGAGCCTCTGTGTACCTCTCTATGAAATGGGTGTGATGAGGCCCCTCTGGCTGCTCCTCGAGGTGCCTCGGGCTAGGAGAGCCTGGTGCACAGTAAGAGCCCCGCTTCTCTGCCTGCCTAACCATCGCACCCCTCGCCCTTAGTATCTTCGACCGCGAGGATGAGGCCAGCCCAAGACCCGGGAGCCTGGCGGCGCTTGAAAAACGCCAGGCAGAGAAGAAAAAGGAGCTGATGAAGGCGCAAAGTCTGCCCAAAACGTCAGCCTCCCAGGCGCGCAAGGCCATGATTGAGAAGCTGGAGAAGGAGGGAGGCTCAGGGTGAGCACAATGGTGGGGTGGGGCCACCACCACCACCCGATGCAGGCATGGATGGGGGAGGGGCGTGGGCTGGGTGTGCCTGGTCTGTGGTCACGGAGGCGGGGCCCCAGGGTCCACAGGGTGGACTGTACTGACGAGGCTCCCTCAAACCTTGCAGCAGCCCTGGTGCCCCTCGTGCGTCCATCCAGCGCTCCACCAGCTTTGGGGTCCCCAACGCCAGCAGCATCAAGCAAATGTTGCTGGACTGGTGCCGAGCCAAGACGCGTGGGTATGAGGTGAGCCCAAGAGACCAGGGCACCCAGCAGCCCTCCAGCCCCCAGCGGTCACCACAAGGCCGGGAAGACAGGAAGTCCTCTGCAGGGATGAGGGAAGTGGGTCTCGGAGAGGGCACGGGGCATGCTCCAGCATCCAGTATGGATGAAGTGGCAGAGCCAACCGTGGGTGGTGGGCACAGCGCAGGGCCAGGCTCCACCCTTGAGACACCTCGCCGCCGTGGCTCTGGGGGACAGCTGGTGGTAGAGGGCATGACCTATGTGAGGGAACGGAACGGAGCGCCGAGGTGCTGCCGGGCCTCTGGGCTGCTCCGCTCCGGCCCCAATGGCCGGCAGACCGCTCAGGTTCCAGTGCTGTCCTGACACGCAGCCTTGGGCAGGCCACAGTGCCTGAGGGAAGGGGCACTGGGTGTCGGTCCAGCCCTGACCACCCCCCACCCCCACCCCCCTAAGCACGTGGACATCCAGAACTTCTCCTCGAGCTGGAGCGATGGAATGGCCTTCTGCGCCCTCGTGCACAACTTCTTCCCCGAGGCCTTTGACTACGGGCAGCTCAGCCCGCAGAACCGGCGCCAGAATTTCGAGGTGGCCTTTTCATCCGCGGAGTAAGTGTGGGTCCCAGCCTTGCTGGTTTCAGCTGTGCGTCTGGGGCTGGGCCTTGGGGCCAGGGCCAGCCTCTCCCGAAGTCCCTGGAGCCAGCCCACCGCACTGTCAGAGAGCAGTCCAGACCCCCTCCCCCAGGGAGCCCCCGACCTCCTTTGCCCTGCCCACCTTACTACAGAGGGTGCCAGATGCCTGCTGGAATCCTGAAGGAGCCGCAGGCCCGCCCACCAGCCCCGAGCTAAGGCTGATCAGGTGGCCCGTCCAGTCCTCCCTCCTGTCCTCTGCCCCTTCTCCCTCCTTCTCCTTTCCTCTGTCCTGCTCTCTGACTGTCACCTGAGCTTCCTGCTCCCACGGGATCCTGGCTGGAGATTCCAAAAGGAGGCTCCTGGCCTGGGCATTGTGCCCGCCCAGCCTATATAGGTGCTGCCAGTGGCTTATATAGGACACCCCAAGCCCTCCACTTTGGAATCGGTGCCCTGTCTGCTCACCTCACCTTCAGCACCTCCTTCTGCCTATCTTTCCTTCTCCCTTTTCTCTTTCTGGTCCCCCCTCCCATCCCCCTGGTTTCTTCCTCTTTCTGTCCCTGCCCCACCTCCTGTCACGCCTCCCTCACCCCCCTCCCAGGGGCACAGCCCTCCTCTCCAACCCTGGCACCAATACCATCGTCCTCCAACCTCCCTCCCTGCGTTCCTGCTTGCCCCAAGAGTTCTGCACCTATGACTGGTCTGGCCCCCACCCCTGTCTGCATCGCGCACCATTAGTGACGGGTAGTGAGCGGCACGTCCACCATGGGGGGGGCATGCGGGGGACTGGCCAGCTGCATCACCAAGAACGTAACTGAATCCATGTCTGTGTGTGTGTGTCTGTGTGTGTGTGTGTGTGTGTGTGTGTGTGTATGTCTGTCCTCCCCTTTCTCTTTTCTGCTCCTCCCAAGCTCCCTCTGAGCCCTCGTCTGCTGTC